CAGAGTGAGTTCTAGGACAGCCAGGGCTGTTACACAGAGAAACCCTATCTTGGGGGTAAAAACAGAAGAATAAGAAGGTTAAAGATGTCATGAACAACTCTGCGATATGACAGAGTATGGGTGAAGAACAGCTCCTAAGAGCTGGCGTCCCTTTTGCAGATTTTGGGAAACTTTTCTTTTCTCTCTCTCTCTCTTTTTTAATTTGAATTAGAAACAAGATTGTTTTGCACAACAATCCCAGTTCCCTCTCCCTCCCCTCCTCCTCTACCATCCCCCACCCCACATCTAAAACCCTACCTATCACATATCCTTTATGCTTCTCCCTGGAGGGTGAGGCCTTCCATAGGGTGTCATCAGAGTCTATGGTATCCATTGGGATAGGGCCTAGGCCCACCCCCATGTGTCTTGGCTCAGGGAGTATTCCTCTATGTGGATTGGGCTCCCAAAGTCCACACCTATGCTAGGGATAAGTACTGAACTACTATAGGAGGTCCTGTAGATTTCTGAGGTTTCCTCACTGAAAGCCATGTTCCTGGGGTCTGGATCAGTCCCATGCTGGTATTCCAGCTATCAGTCTGGGGAGCAAGAGCTCCCCGATGTTCAGGTCAACTGTTCCTGTGGGTTTCACCATCTTGGTCTGGACCCTTTTGCTCTTCACTCGTCCTTCTCTGTAACTGGATTCCAGTTCAGTTCAGTGATTAGTTGTGGGTGTCTGCTTCTACTTCCACCAGCTGCTGGATGAGGGCTATCGGGTGGCATATAAGTCAGTCATCAATCTCATTATCAGGGGAGGGCATATAAGGAAGCCTCTCCTCTGTTGCTTAGATTGTTAGCTGGTGTCATCTTTGTAGATCTACAGACATTTCCCTAGTGCCTGATTTCTCTGTAAACCAAAAGTGTCTCCCTCTATTATGGTATCAAGGACAGAGGTGTGGAGAGAAAGAGGTGAGTATGGCTTTGGGAAGCTCCCAGGAATAGTTCAAATCAAAACAAACAAAACAAAACTGCAGCCTACACATGCCCTACCCTTCAGGGGCTTGTGAGAGCTGGTCTACCCTGGGCCAGCTGTAGCAGGTTTGGGTACTCCTGAAGAGTCACACCTGTGGCAAGTTCCCAGGTGGTGGGGCTGTTCTGGAGACCCACTTTGAGGACTCGTCCTTATCAGTGAGGCTTCACAAGTGCCAGGGACTGGGTACTCTGTGTAGCTCTGTGCCACCATCACAACACCACATCTTGGAAAAGAAGTCACCGGCTTGAACTCACAGAGATCCACCTGCCTCTGCCTCTCGTGTGCTGGGATTAAAGGCATGCGCCACCACCACCCAGCTCCATTCTTGTTATCTTCTATTCTTCCCCTGACTCAACCTTTCTTCTCCCTCATGTCCTCTGCATTGGGGAAACTTTTCTAACAATACAGTTTCTGCTCTTGAAGGGCAGATCACTAGGCTACATGAGCAGAAAGCCACCCACAAGGGAAGAGTGATGGTTTTATGCAAAATAATAAGACTGACAACTATTCTGTGCAAGGAAAGGCTAACCAAACTGAAGGTGATTGATTGTTTGGGAAAAGAAGTTCTTTAGTAAATGAAGCCTGCTGGTAGAAGAAAGGTCAGGGCAAGACAAGTATTGCTAGCTTAGGAACTGTCCACCCCAGGGAGGAGACGCAGGGGCAGCATTGCTGACAGGCTGCTGTGGGAAGTGTTTGCCCCGTTCCTCCCCGGGCCTCCTCAAACCCCAAGGGTCTAGGCCTATTCTTGAGCAAGCTCAGAATGGGTTGCTTTTTTTTCTAGTTATCTATTGCTAGTATTCTTAGACTAGCATATGTTACCCCAAAATATGCTTCCTAGGATAAGGTTTATTTTGAGCTAGCTATTCTGAGAAACTGCAGACACAGAAAAAGCTTTGAAAACAGAAGAGAAATAACCCTTCTGTAAGGGAAACCATGCATCCACAAAGAAATCTCCATTTACAAGTGTGTCTCCCTCTGTGCACCAGGAAAAGGAGGGCCATTAACTCTCCAGAGGGGCAGCAATCAACTCAGAATCTCACTTGCCCTGGTACACCCTGCCCTCCTGTTGCTATCCCCTTGCTAGGTTTCCCCCTTCCTTCCTTCCTTCCTTCCTTCCTTCCTTCCTTCCTTCCTTCCTTTCTTCCTTCCTTCTTCCCTCCCTCCCTCCCTCCCTCCCTCCTTCCCTTCTTCCTTAACTGAAAATAGTTTTTCAATTAAAATTTTTACAATATATTCTGATTACACTTTCTCCTCCCCCAACTCCTCCTCACTTCCTCATCCATCCAACTCCACACACACACACTTTCTCTCTCTTTAGAAAACAAACAGGCAAACAGGCAAACAAAAAAAACAAAAAAAAATAAACAGAGGATACATGAGTCTGGCATTCTCAATAAGATAAGACCATGCTGACATTATCTCCCAGCTCCCGGAAGCTCTCGGGATACACAAGATGGTGGGTGGTCTTGCTCCCAACATCTGCCTCAAAGCCCACCGTGGGTGCCCTGTTCATCCTGGGAGGAGAGGAAAACAGAGCACTTGGTAAGAATGCTGCAGCTGGAGTCCACTGAATGATAACCACAGGTGAGCCTCTTCGTTCCCTAGGCCTCAGTTTCCCCATGTGAACAATGGGGACACTCTAGACACAGGCCACACAAGCACAGTAGAGCAGGTCTGAAAACCCCGCTACTGAGGTTGAGCCAGGAGGATGGCAAATTCAAGTCCAGCCTGAGAAACTCAAGGGGAGACAGCTTGCCTAGCATGCACGAATCCAAGTTCTATCCCTAGTTCAGCAAAACAGAGGCCACCAAGGCTATTTTGTTTGTTGGCCTTTTAAAAAGATTTAGTTATTTATTATATATAGTGTTCGGCCTGCATGTACGCCTGCTGCCAGAGAGGGCACCAGATCTCATTACGGACGGTTGTGAGCCACCCTGTGGTTTCTGGGAATTGAACTCAGGCCCTCTGGAAGAGCAGCCAGTGCTCTTAATTGCTTCATTAACTCTCCAGCCCCTGGTTTTGTTTTTATTTTTGTTTTTTAAATAAATGCAAGTGGGGGTGGGTCTTGCCCTCTAGTAACTGACCACCTGTGTGATTGCACCTACCAGGTGAACCTTTTTTATGATCCAGAACCCAGATGAGCTGTCTACCAAGATACACCTTTGAACTGAAGTCAGCCTGACCCCAACATGACTTGGCCTCTCATTGTGGGCATTCCCACTGATACTAGGTATACTGAGAGCCAGGGAAGGGGTCTATGGACATGAAGCCATCCATCCATCATCTACCCATCCATCCATTTATCCATCCATTTATCCATCCATCCATCCATCCATCCATCCATCCATCCATCCATCCATCCATCCATCCATCCATCCATCCATCCATCCATCCATCCATCCATCCATCCATCCATCCATCCATCCATCCATCCATCCATCCATCCATCCATCCATCCATCCATCCATCCATCCATCCATCCATCCATCCATCCATCCATCCATCCATCCATCCATCCATCCATCCATCCATCCATCCATCCATCCATCCGGGGTGGGGTAGGGGTGGGGGTAGATTTGAGCCACAGAAGCACAGGCTTCAAATCAGTGTTGCCCACCCAATAGCTACGCCTTAGGTACTAAGTCACCAGCCCATTGGAAATTCCCGCCCAGCCAAGGCTTTCTCATTGCATGATGGGGGAACTGAGACCCAGAGGTCAGTCACTCCTGGGGCCCTGGAACCGTGTCCTTCTGAGCTGAGCCAAGGTGTTTCACGCACCTCTGAGGATCCCTAGGCTTGGGTTAAGGGTCCAGTGCTCACCTCACCACGAAGTCGTGGCTGTCAATCTCAGGCCCATACGAGGAGTCCTTCAGGTTCCCAGAGTTTCCCACGACTGCACAGCGTCGGCAACCCACCAACCGCTTGCCCAGCACCAGGCCCACCCTCCCGGGCACCACGCGAAACAGTTCCTTGATGGTGTCACTCAAGTTGTTAGGTTTCCTCTCCCGTTGGAGCCTCTGGGGCGGAGGACAGAGGGGATGGGTGGTCAGCTTGGCTCCGATGCTACCAAACCCAGCTACTAACAGTGAAGGCACAGGCGGTTAGTGATAGCCACCCCCACCCCAAGACAGGAGACAGGGAGAAAGCTCATGTATCCATTCTACAGGTACTCTCTGGGTACCTACTGTGTACGAGACTAGGGCTTTAGCTGACCTTCAGTTACAAGGGCCAATCCCTAGACACCCAGGACAGCAATAATGACTGCATTTCTCATTCCCAACACCTGCTAAGATCTAGTTTTGCTACTGGTGGCAGGGCAGATGAACATAGACTCAGAGTGTACCCTAGAGCCAAGGCCACGCGCCCTTCCCAGGAGAGGACACCAAAGACACAGGAAAACCATGCAACATGGGAGCAGAGGTTGGATCCTGCAGATGTGGGTACCACAAATGGTCAGCTGCAGCAGTAGGAAAAAGCCATGGGGGTAAAAATCCCTTGGCCTCCAGGACTGTGCCATGTGATCCCTTCTGATGTCTTAACCCACCAGGTGGTGATTTGTCATGGGAGCCACAGGAGGGAAAGCAGTAGGGTTTTTCTCTGACTTACACATAATAGTTGCTCAATAAACAGTTGCTGACTGAAAGAAATGACACCCTGGATGCTGCCAGATGATTGGTGGGCCCTTGGGTCCCCCCAGACCTAGCATTTGCCTCCTCTCACCCTTGCCAGCCCCTACTCTGCTCACCAGCCACCACTGGTACGTGTCCTCTTCCATCAGAGCGTTGTGGGCTGTCAGCAGCGGCTGCATGGTCTTGTTGAAACGCTGGTCGAACCAGTATGAGACCTTGCCCTGGCTGATGCAGCGTGTACAGGTGCAGGGCTGTGACTTGATGAGCTTGCGTAAGTTGTCCGAGAATCCCAGGACCATGTGCTTGGAGAACCAGGCAGTGGGCACCCCGGTGCTTGAGTAGTTCAAGACAAAGGATGTGAGGAAGACGAGGAGCAGGAAGAAAGTGAGCCACTTGAGAGTTCTCTTTCTTATGTTCATCATCTCCCCCCTTTGCTGGGCCCTCTGTGTTGACGGGAGGGTGGCAGAGAGGACCCTGCCTAGTTCTGAGCAGATCCCAGAGACTAAGGAGCAGGTAGCTGTCTCGGGGCAGCTGGGGCAAACCAGCCCGTTGGAGACACGTCTAGGTCTCTGCTCTGGATATCTCTGTGTGGCACATGAGTGTGGTTCATGAGATGCAGTTGTGCCTGTATTGTCTTCCTTGTGGTAAGCGGGTCCGTCTACCTCTTAACCCCAAGCAAAGTTGAAAACGCGGCTTGAGACGTTAATCAGGCCTGGGATGAACAATGCTCTCCCCCACGAAAAAGAGATCAGGGCTTAAGCCCCAGCCTGAGCGCACCCCTGGAGGACCCGAAAAAAAGGTCTTGGTGCAGGTTATGGGGCCACTGCTTGGCCGCGCTCCTCCAGAAAGTGTGGCTCAGGACAGTCTTTAATTAGAGCTTTTGTGTTTCCCAGGCTGTCACCAGGGATGGGAACTTAAAGGACATCTCCAAATAGGTACAGAGGATGACAAACGTCTGCGGAGAAAAGGAGGAAGAAAAGATGAAGCTTTGTGACCTTGATATGGAAACTGTTTCTCTCTCTCCACACCTTTCCCAGAAGCCTCGGGGCTTCCTGTGGGCTTTGATTGCATCTGCTTCTAGCCTGAACTTTGCATCCCAACCCATCAGGGTATGACAGTGCTGTGCCACCACTCCCGCCACCGTGGACGGAGTCACTCTGGCTGCCACGCTTTGCCCACCGCCATGAACCGATACACTCTGAAACCATGAGCCCACAGTAAACCTAATCCCCCACCCCCAAGCTGTTCCTGGCAGGTATTCTGTCAGAAAAACAACAATAAAAATACCCTAATACAATGGCAGGAGCTCAGAGCTTAGCTTTTTAGCGTCTCAATTACCGATTCCTGCTTTCTTCAACTCTGAACTTCGCAATTTGCATATGAGCAAGTGCGTCCAATGAGGGAAAAACGGCTCAGAACCCACTTAATCCATCTCTCTATCTTTTCAATCACGTCTCCACTCATCCTCTTGCTGTCCTGGACTCTGCCTCCTGGAAGTCAGCATCCGCTGCCTGCAGGGGGTGGATAGTCTCCACTTCATGCCCTATCCTTACTCTGCTTCATCTTCCATCGCTCAGGGATCCCCACCCTTCAGGCTTTGGCTGTTTCTACCTGGAGCTCTCTGCTTTGCAGCCACCCCGACACTTGGGAGAAAGAATCACATAGAGAGGCCCTGTTGAGCTCCCGTGTGTCCCCTCCACTCTCTACAGAGCAGCTGCTGGGCAGGAAGAGGCAAAGTAACAGTCGGGGGCCTCAACAGCCCCTGCCCTGTCCAGAAGGGCCCAGTAGGAGCTCTTTCTGTCAGACAATGTTTTCACACCCACCTTGACTCATGGCCCAGCAACTTTGGCCAAATCTTGTCTTTCTTATCACTGAAAAGAAGACCCTCTGCAGGCCCTTGGGTGTAATGTGAGCTTTCTGTCCCGGTTGGTCCCACAGCTCTTGAGCCCCAAGTAAACACACACATACTATATTAATTATGAAACTGCTAGCCGATGACTAGGGCTTCTTATTGGCTGGCTCTGCCTTAATTATTAACCAATTTCTATTAATCTATATATTTCCACGTGGCCTTGGCTTACTGGGGAACACCTTGAGCGTCCTCTCTTCCCAGGCTCTGCATGACAACTCCATCTGCCTATGTTTCCCAGAATTCTCCTCATCTTTTAGCTCTGCCTATACTTCCTGCCTGGCCAATCAGCCAATCAGTGTTTTATTCATTAACCAATAAGAGAAACATATGTACAGAAGGACAACCCCCATCACTTGGGTTCTGACTCACTGGCTTTATGTTGCAGAACCAGAAAGCAGAGAGTAAGACCTGGGCCAGTGGAAGGCCTCCCACATGCTACAGAGTAGAAAGAGCCTTCCCCAAACTGTTCTGCAGCCCTGTCCTGCTCACTGGATACTCGGCGCCACCTATTCTTACTATGGAAGTGTTTCACTGGAACCTGGCCAATAGCCCCAGAGTAAAAAAAGTCATAAGCACACCACAGTTCCTGTGTGCCGTGGCCTAGGTCCTTCAACTCTCTGATCCTTGCTTCCTGAATCCAGAGAATAGAGCAGCGCTCTCCAGGTCTGTGTGGAAAGAATGACTGGCACACAGGTGACTGGCTTAGGGCATCACACTTTCTTGAATCCCAGATGCTTCCTGTATAAAATGTAACCCAACAAGACACCTGGACCGTGGTAAGGGCAAGGTTACTTAAAGGACCAAAGGACACCAGTCATCAAAGAATACAGGCCAGGGTAACCCCTTGGCTCTGGAGTCTCCATTCCTGGAGGTGGTGGCAGCTGGCTCTTCAATACTTTCTGGGGACCAGGGAGACATATGATATGTGAGACACATCAATTATTCAACCGGTGAGGGTGGTCACCATGAGCTTCATGGCCGATCCAGTGAGCTTGTAGCTAGTTTTCACACCCCAGGGCAGTGGTTCTCACTTGTGGGTTGCGACCCCTTTGACAAACCTCTTTCTTCAATAGTATTTATAATATGTTTCATAGCAGTAACAAAATTACAGTTATGAAGTAACAAAAATAATTTTATGGTTGGGTGGGGGTCTCCACAACATGAGGAACTGTGTTTCAGGATTGCAGCTTTAGGATGATCGAGAAGTACTGGCCTAGGGGCTCCCTCACAGTGGCTTCACACACACACACACACACACACACACACACACACACACACACACACACACGCATGCACATAATGCAAACATGAAGAAAGTATGGTAGAGATGTTTCAATGGTGGGAGACAACTGGGCAGAGTAGCTTTGAGGACCTGGGTGCCTTAGTCCTAATACTTAAATTCACATAATGATGCTGCCAACTCTGACTTCGAATTACCAGACATTCATCTTCTTAGCCTCATTTTTTTTGTAGAAATATTTCAAGGACGTGTGTGTGTGTGTGTGTGTGTGTGTGTGTGTGTGTGTGTGTGTGAGTGTAATAGCCTATGAGTTTTATTTTTTATTTTTATTCTTAGGGAGGATAAACATGTTGAGAATGGGGTCTCACTCTGTAGCCCAGGAGATCCTCTTGCTTCAGCTTCCCAGGTATTTGTATTGCAGGCATAAACCACCACACCCAGGTCATGATAGAGCATGTAAACAACTTTCCAGCAATATCTGGGGCCTTGGAATTTGAAATAAATAATATAGTCAGGAGGGTGGAAAGGAAAACAAAGCAAGAAAAGACTCTCACACCAAGACACAAATAAGAAAGAAAATAAGCTAGGCAGTGGTGGCGCACGCCTTTTAGCCCAGCACACGGGAGGCAGAGGCAGGCGGATCTCTGTGAGTTTGAGACCAGTCTGGTCTGCAAGAGCTAGTTCCAGGTCAGAATCCAAGCCACAGAGAAACCCTGTCTCAACAAAACAAAACAAAACAAAAGTATAAAAATACATTTCCATTAAATAAATAAATTGAAATTTGTAGACATTCAGGGCCTGGGGATGGGGCTCATTGATAGAGTGTTTGCCTGCTGAGAAGGTGCAAGGACTCGGGTTCAAGTGTCTGCACCAAAACTAACAATGATAATAATGAAGAGTGAGTATAGGGCCTCACACATGCTTTGCAAGTGCTCTGCTACCAAGCAATACTTGGTTCTTGTTTTCTACTTCTTTATCTTGAAACAAGGGCTCCCTAATCTGTCCAGGCTGGACTGGAACTTGTATTCTTCCTACCTCCCCTGCCCCACTCCCACAGGAGCTAGAATGATAGGTACATACAAGTTGCTGCTCAGATTTAAAAAAAAAAAAATGAGCAAGAATTTTCTAACAGTTATTCAAAAGAAAGGGAACAAAAACTCGACAAGAAAAAAAAGTATAAATCCCCATTGTCCCAGAGCTTTTTTGTCTCCTCCCATCTCTTCATTGCAGGAATTGGGTGCACACAGTGCTGTGACCACTCAGCTGGAAGACACTTTTCTGGATGTGCAAATGCAGAGTGTGCCCAGAGCTCCCTGCCTTCACAACGCCTTTGCACTACACAAATTCTACTAAAGACTGACTTTGCCTGACTTGTTCTGCTAACCTGTAAGACTGGTTCATTAATACTCATTGTCAACTTGACTGGATTTAGAATCACTTAGGAGACAGCTCTGGGCAGGTCTGGGAGGGAGTTTCCCAAAAGTTTTAACCAAGGAGAGAAAAACCACCCCTGGATGTGGGTGGCACCATCCATAGGCTGGGTTTCCTGGCTGAATAAAAAAAAGGAAAAGGTGGGCTCAGTGCCAGCATTCATCTGTCTCTCTGCTTCCTAACTGGTCACTTCCACAGACTGACCAGCTGCCTCACGCTCTGGCTGCAGTGACTTCCCTGCTATGACCTACTGTGCTCTCAGACCGTGAACCAACACCGGCCAAACACTTCCCTTCCTCTGTGGCCAAACTCCCCTCTCCTCATCACAGAGAAGAAAAGTCGTGTCGAGGGACTGCCCCCAGCGAAAGGGTTAAATGACAAAAGGGAAAGATGCCACAGAGAAGGCGTCCACAGCAATGCACTTTATGACCTTGCTAGCAGACAGGTCTCCAATGCATGGAATTCAGGGTCTGTCATGTTCCTCTGTGTTCCCTTATTTCCACTACCACTTTGTAACCAGAAGCCGACACAAAGCCAGATGGCTTCGAACTGAATGTCCTTAACCCCAGAGCCTGCACCACATTGCCAAGGTCAGCAGGAACCCTCCAGGCCTGCAAGGACACAGCAGTCCCTTGTAAGTCCCTGGCTCCTGGAACTCCCTCTGCCTGCCAATCAGTTTGCACCAATCAGTCTGTGGCTGATTTTTCTCTGCAGTCACCAAACTAGGCTCCTATTTCAGGGGTCTCTCAGGAACTATGAGACAGAAACCCGAACGTACAGAGATCAGCGTCTATCACCAACCACTGTGACCTCAGACATTTTTAGTCTAACCTCCCTGAGCCCTATGTAGGTTGTTTTTAAGGAAATAGAAAAGTTACTATTGTTAAAAGGTTTTTTAAAAGGGGGGGTTATCTTCTGAAAGTAAAAAACGGTTTATTAAAGCAAACACATCTCTACTAAGTTCTAACTCGGTACCATACTCTCTGATTGCACCAGTATGGAGGGCACCACCTTTCATGTTCCAATGCCAAAACCAAGGACTTTCAATATCTGACTAACACATTAGGGTCACTGGCGAATGGTGGGCCTTATCTAGCAATTAAGGCCTTAGGAGAAAACTTGGGCCACTCAAAAAGGAATCTTGCCTCTCAAGAAAAAACCCTGCCCCACTGCCCAATCCTCAGGCAGGGATCACTCCAAACTTGCCAGCCCCACAAATTATGAGTGGACTTCCCCTACACCGCCCTGTCTTCCTCTCCGGCTTCTCCCTCTCTTCCCATTTACCCAGGGTCCTACTTTTCATTGCCAGTATATACAGCTGGACAGTTTCCAAAAGCCCACTTTTCTTGTTGGAAATTCTGAGCCTCAACACCACACACAACACTGTAAGCTGTCTTCC